GTTTCAATTGTTTTAATTAAATCAAAATTTCCCCAACTGAAAATTAATAAATTTAATAATATTTAAAAACCATTCGGAATTTCAATATTTATAAAAATAAGTGATTTTTTTTGCTGAGCATCCTTGAAATTGCTTAAAGCGAACTTCTCCCCGAATTCATTTATATATTTCCCACCACCGTGTCTCTCTCTCACTCTCTCTCTCTCTCTCTCTCTCTCTCGGGGCCTGTAATACTCTTGGCATTACACAAATCCAATTTTCTGGTCGGCCCCCGCCATTGCTGCGCGTCGTCTCCGCGAGATTTCAATGTCATTGACTGACAATGTGCTTCATAATCGCGAGAAAACGGAGAAATCGCAGTCGCCGATAAGCAACGTTCGATCGTTGGACTCGTCCGAACCATTTTGATTTTCTTCTTGTCCGATGTGTCCTGCCTCCGTTCGGCCGAAAAAGTGTTAAATATAACAACAACGAAACAAACAGAGGCCGCCAGGGATGACGTTCATGTACGTACCACATTTTAACGCAGGCAGGGATCGGCGCCGCTTATGATTTGCCAGAGCCGCATTGCAGTCGCGCGCGCTCTTGGTCTTCTTTGCAAAGCCGCGTTTAACCACGGGTTTTTTTTAATTATTTGATTTCATTATAAAAATGGAAGGAAATTAAATTTGACATTTTGTTAAAGATATTTAAAGTTTAAACAATTTGCTAGCTCAGAAATTTAGTTTGAATTTGCCTTATTTTGTGAAATTTTAGTTTTCGGAAAATTGTTAAAACACAAAATTCCTTTTTTTTAAAATTAAATATATTGCACCGTATCAAAAAATTTGACAGAATTATTATAATAATTCTTGCTATAGTGTTGCTGCCGTTTTTTTCCTAACAAATTCCTTTCTATTCAAATAAATTGTTGTCAACAATTGAATGTTAACAATGTGATGTAACATTTTCAACAAATAAACAGCAATAATAAAAAAATTAACAAGTACCAACTTATTAAGAAATCACTCAAAAACTGAAAAATTGACCTTTAATTTGAAATCATTTTGAACCAAAACTCTCTTCATGAGAAAAATCAAATTTTTTTACTATGCAAAAAATTCAATTATTATTAAACAATTATTTTTTAATGTTTATACCTGCAGTAATTTTTAAATGTCTACAACATTGGCTAATTTTTTATAAATCTAGTTAATTAATAAGCAAAAACCCATGCAGGAAAAACCGCTGTCAATATAATCAGTAAATTCCTTTTTTTATTAATTCTTCAAATAAATTTATTTTTATGATTTTTATTGACTTATGAGGCGTCACCACGACGTAATTACTCATTGCGACGCGCGACATGGTACAAAACTAGTGAAAAAAGAGAGTAAAAAACAACAAAAATAATAAAATTCATCAATAAGTTGTTTAATCTTTTTATATTCTTTTTGCTCTCTTTTTATTTTTTTAACCGTTTTTAGGAACGTGATAAATTCAATGATAAAATAATACCTAGAATTTATACGTCCAATTTAAATATAAATTAGAATGAATTTAACTAACCTTAAAATAATCAAATTTGTGTCAAAACATTTTTTCCGAGGAAATTCAAATCATACATCGTCCAATACAGGCAATTTTCTTCTTGCGCCATCGCATGTGGATTTTCCAACGAGCTGCCGAATTAATTTCCATTTATGGAACGTCCTCTCGCGACCTTACCCTTGGCTGGCTTTCGTGAACACCGGACCAAAAATACACCGAATCGTCAGCGGAACAAGTGGCGTCGCTTATAGTTAGTGGCCTGTGTAAATATTTTATGGCTGCTCCCTCGATCTTGGCAATCGATTAAACGCCCCTTGAGCTAAGGCACCGCACAACTTCGCCGTCTCGTGCTTGAACACCTTTAGGCCTAAATTATTCTGAAAACTTTGAAAGTTGCTCTGCTTTTCATCAAGTTTGAATGCGAAAGCCAGAAGCGGAAAATCTTCCCAGGGAAATTAAAAATGCTTGATTGTTCGTCAGGCCAATATTCTCAAAACGAGGGCGTTATTCAAACCAAACTTTTAATTTTTTAGGTTTTAATCGATTGACATTAATTGAATTTTTCTTGTCTTCTCCCAAGACTTTGTTAAATGTCAAGGTCAATTTTCGGTAACCTCTGATGAACGAGCCAGATTTAGAAATTGATCGGCCTTGTAAGAAAACATTTTGCCTGATTTAGCTCTTACAATTTTCACCTGTCTTCAACTATTCAAAGAAAAAAATAGTGCCTGTTTGTTGTAATGTTAAAAAATTCCATGTTATCATGTAATATTTATAATAATTAAAGCAGCTCTGGAATGAATTTTCAATTAGAACCTGTTCGAGTAACCTTGCAAAAATATTTTTAACTAAAAACATGAATTTAAAATACTAGTACGATTGTAACTATTTTTTATAATTATAAGAAAAACATATATTTCTTTTGTTAATTTTGAAATATTTGTTTATTTGCTGTAATTTTAACATTTTGAGTCTTTTTATATTAACTTTTGGTGCCTTCAATTTTTAATTTTCAGATCTATTGAACATAATAACAATCTTGCCGAGGTTTAAAAAATTAAGAAAATTTGTTTTTTGAAATCTTAATTATATTCCGAGTTTTCCTTTTGGTTTTCTTTGTTAATATTAAATTTAGATTTTGATTTTTTCAATTTAAATTATGACAGAGTTTTTTGATAAGAAAGAAATAATGTTGATGGACTGAATAATTAAGCAGTTTTCAAGAATTACAAGGTTTAATTAAAATTTTATTCTTCCGTTATTTTTATTTTGATATCAAAATAGATGAATCCCCGATTTCATTGAAACGTTCAAAAAGATATTAAAACACGAGAGCCTTTGGCGCAAAAGATTAAACGGCGCGCCCGGCGGCAACGCCACAATTTATATTATTTTCCATCCCCTTGACCCAGTTTGCCGTCCGATTTGAAAGAAGAGCTTTGGCTTTTTTTGAAAAGCCGCGCTGCATTTTTTATCGCCCTGCACTCATCAAAATGCATGTGCACGAAAAGCGGGTCACACGAGCGCGCAGCGATAATCTGTTGGGGGAAAAAAAATTGCATCCGCCAAAAGCAGGGCCCGAGAATCGACTCGTCTCTTTTCGCCAGATGCAAAACGGTTGCATTTCGCCAAGTGCCTCTCCTGCACTCAAGGACATACTCGTCGGTCGGTTTGCTCAAATTAAACATTAAACTCAACAGGCTGCCTCTCGTTTGTGGGGCTCTTTGAGCCGAGACGCTTTTTAATTAGCTTCTTTCAAGTGGCGCCTGACGAATCTTTTGCGACCCAAAGTCGAGACAAATTCTTTCATCTATTCAAATTTTTATTCGAAATTTCATTTGAATTTAATCACTTTTGGTTTCCTTAAATTTTAATTTTTTCGGCTTACATTTGCTATTTTTCTAAACAAAATTAATTCCAAAAACAATTTTAAAAATAACTTGGAGCATTTTAGTTGATGTGTAAAATAGAAAATAATCACCTAAAATATTTTGCCATAGACTAAAATGCACGTTTCCATCAGAGCAAATTTAATCGATCTAAGTATTTGATAGAAATTTAATGTGAGATCCAAAAACTGAGCGGGAACGGGGAGAACCAGTGTTTCAAAAATATAATATAATTAAATGCTTAAAATTCTAATTTTTAGTTTGTAATTTAATTTTGTTTGTTTATTCCCCATGCAAATTTAAAAAAATTACAATGGATAAAAAAGCAAATGGATAAAAAGTAAATATTTTTTGGAATTAAAATTATTTGTCTAAAATTAAATTTTTATTTCAGCAGACAAAAATTCGTTTAAAAATTTCAATCGCCATTTTTTCTAATTAACCATCAAACTTTTTATATATTTATTCATAATAATTTTATATTCCCGTTCTTAAATAATGATTTGTATCTTGTGTGTTTGTCATTTTAAAAATTCTCCAGAGAGAATAACAAGTTGTCTGTCAAATATTGATCGTAAGTCGCCGTTTGTGTTCACAACGATTGCCCGACGTTAACAGTTTTATACAAGATGCCATAATCTCACTCTACAGTTGCGTCAAAGCAGGTTTTGTAGGTTTTCGAAGGCGACAAAACTCGTTCGTAACAATCTCATCAAGCCGCCGATATCGATTGCCATCGAAACGACGATTTCCTTCCGTGCAAAGCAAATAAATATTACGGGTGTGATTTATTTTACGGGCTTCGGACGCATCAATCTCGTCAGATTAATGGCTTTTTCAATCCGCTCACAGAAAAAAAAGAAACATTGCGCAGTAAAATGGATTCCGATTGTGAGAGAGAGAGAGAAAAGTCCATCCCCTTGAATTATTACTCAACGCATCCCGTTTGGCACGCAAGTGGCGCGGGTTGCATAATCACACTTACACGCTCACCGTTGGGAAACTGCCGCTCTGTTATAAAACGGGGTATTATTCACCAATTAGCAACGGACCCAAATAGAAAATAAATAAATTCAGGTATTGTAAGAATTGCGATGTTTAATAATTTAACTTTTATTATTTTTGTGTTCGCAATATCAAATTTAGCAATAAGGGCTAAAAAAGAGTTTTTAAATCGTTTGAATTTAAAAAAAAAAAAAACGAACAATTAAAAAAAAATTCAAAAACTTTATTTTTATCACTTATATTTCACCTTTATTTCTTGTTCAAGCATTAGTGGATTAAAAAAAATGGATTCGGTTTTTAAAGTTTCGTAATGGGAAGAATTGAAACATTTGGAAAATGTACAAGTGATTGTTTTATTTGATTTCCATTTATATTTTTTGCCAGTAAATTGGAATTGAAATTTGCCTTTGAGACGAGAGCAAATAGCAATAAATAATCACAGGTAATTGGATTTTGGTTTGACTTTGAAGGCGAGTCGTAAGAGGGAGGCGCTGTGACGTTGCTATTGTTTCAATTGGCGCTGTTCGAAAATAGCCCCTGGATCGAGTCAAGAGCGACCAGTTCAATGTTATGCCGTCGTGCAATAAAAAGGCTCCTTCGCCCAGATGCTATTTATGTGAATCGGTTCATGTGCGCCGAGAGTTTCAGCCCAATTTTCTCTCTCTCTTTCTCGCGGGGTCAATTCCAGAGCTGAAATTCCGCCGTCACAGAGAGCGCACAGCTATTTTTAGTTTGTTTTCATCCGAGTCAGCTGGCGTGCGTTTGTGCCTTTTGATTTCACCATTTTTTCGCGACCCTCCAAACGTCCGGCTGACATTTGATTGTGCGAGCGTCTGATGCGAGAACGCCGAGCGGTGAAAACTTTGCTGGGCCGTCCAAACCTCGATCACAACGCCCGTCGAAAACGAATTTACTTTGGGCAGGTCGGCCAGGTAGGTCGAATTGCGTCCAGTCCCAAAATTCCTCGCGAGGCTAACATTACGAAAATATCCGCCAAGAAAATAAATTATTCTACTTCTCTTTATGAATATCCAATTATTTTCAAACAATGAACTTTTATATTTTGTTGATATTTTTTTTTTTCGGACATTTTTATAATTTTAAGGGTAATTGCTGAAAAACACAGACAAAGAGACACCATTCCAATTTTTAAGTAGGCTGTGAAGGTGGTAAAGAGGCCTCGCTTGTTAAATTTTTAAGTCAAAATATTGCGAATTTTTACGGGAAATTTGATTTTTCCAAAATCAAATAATTCATCCACATCTTTGCTACTATTTAGAATATTGATATGCTCTCTTCTCTACCAAACGTAACTTTTTACGCCAGACAACTTTTCTATTGACAATTTTGCGTAGGTCGAAGGTCAAGGTCATTAAATTGCAAATTTCACTTTTAATCGCAATTTTCACAAAGATTCACGCCTCAGACGATTTTTGAGGTATAGAAAAGAATGTGGCCTTAAGTGTGTAGAACAACATACTAAAATTACAAAATGGTATTATTTGTAGTTTTGGAGATAATTTTAATTGAATATTTAAAAACATTGAAAAATCGCTTTCCCGCCGTAGGAAATAATTTTCAAACAGCGATAACTCTGTTTTTATTAGCGATACGTCAAAAGTTGAAACTACAAAAAATGTTTCAAATCACTTTTCCTATCGAACCATGTATTGGTCATCCAGGTCAGGTCACTTAAGGTTATTGACCTCGTGACCCTTGACCTTATAAAAGGGTCTCCTAACAAATTATGTCGATTATACAATAATTTTATAAGGTTCTTTGAATAAAATTTATAAATGCCCTTTTATTTATAATTTATTTGAGAATTATTGTGTTAAAATTAAAATAATTAATAATTGTAATCGTTCAATAATTCAATTATGATTTTTTTTAAACATATAAATTTCAGAAATAAGACTAATATAATTTCGTAAATAAATATTAATCTTGACAAATTGTTGGTTAAATTTAAATTTATTTTTTTACTAAGAAAACTCCGCCCTTTAAGTGATGTTTTTTGATGACATAATTTTTCCAATTTGTACACAATTTTACGTCAGTAGCGCATCAAAAAATCGATGATCAAGAATATAATCAGGTTGGCCGCTGACCACTTAATTCAATTCAAAAAGTGTTGGGAACACGCACGAAACACTTTTTATTATACATTTTTATAATATTTTATCTTATCTCTTTGGCTTTTAAGGGCATTTTCTTGTTACCGCACTCGACAAGTACGAAACGCCGCTACACGTGTTAGCATCATCATCTCGAGTTTCTTATCTCTGTGTATTTTTTGCTCTGGATTTAATGGTGCCCGTTTTTGTCGACAGCGCGGTGCCCTTGGCCAACCCGCCCGATGTTGACGACCCTGCCAGCAACAAGGCCCGGCCGCCCGCGCCGCTGAGCGTGCCCCATGTGGCGTCCTCGCCCTCGATGCACCCCAACAACAAACGCGCGACCTGGCGGGACGACTTCTTCGACGACGACGACGCCAACCCGCCCTCGGCGCCCAACAACAGCGGCAGCAGCAGCAGCTCCTCCACCAGCAGCTCACTCGATGAAGCGGCCGCCCCTCCTGATGGCGGATGGGGGTACATTTTTCCCTTCAAATACGACAAAATTACAAAATTCAATTATAAACTGCTATTATATTAATCAAATTTAATACTAAATTTTGAGAACGCAGAGAAAACTAGCTTATAAAAATGACTGGCAGTTTTTTTTTAATTCTTACTGAAAATATTATTGATTTTTTTTTTTAATAATTATCATCACAATTTTTAATTCAATTTACATCTAAAATTATCGTAGGAATAAAAACTTATTGTCAATATTATTTATTTATTCATCCAAAATAATATTATTGCCTTTTGTTACTCTTTTAACTTCAATTTTTTTTTGTACGAATTAAATAACATTTTGGAATAATAATTAGAAGAAGCCAAAAATTATTCTAAAGTTTATGAATTATTAAATTTTTTTATCTTTTAGTATCAGGTAAATTCAGGAAGTTTGGAAATTAATAGACCTTTTTAAATTGGTACTAAAACCAAGCCAATTAAACATTTGAAAATAATCAAGAAATATAACTTAAATTTTACCAAAATTTTTATTTTAAATAAAAAAACCATTTAATAAAAATACAATCAATTTAATATTTAAATTTTTATTTCTTTTGTAAGTTTGATAATAATTAGAGCAGCTAAAATTATAAATTATTTAAAATATAAAGTCAACTAATTTATCAATTTTGAATAACTAAAGTAATTTCACCGATATGTAATAATAGGTATCGTTAGATAAAAAAGTAATACATTATGTATTATAATTTATTCTAGTTATTAGATCAGATGAATATATTAAAAAATAAAATTAATAAAATTGTGAACATTCTTACATACAAAAAATAGCATAATTTATGCTAGTTATTAATACAATTATTAATTAAAAAAAGACAAATTTGTTAACTATAAAAATTAACAATTAAACATTTGAAAATAATAAAATAAAAATTGGTTTATTTTACATTAATTAAAATTGTTTTCCTTCCAGATGGGTTGTGGTGGCGGCGTCGTTCATGGTCAACCTGATCGCCGACGGCATCACCCTCTCCTTTGGCGTCATCTACCTGGACTTCTTGGACAAGTTCGATGCCGGCAAGGGCAGCACCATGTGGATCGGCTCGTTGTTCATGGCGATGCCTCTGCTGTGCGGCCCGATCGCCTCGTTTGCCACCGACCGCTACGGCTGCCGCAAAGTCACCATGTTTGGCGCCGTCTTGGCCGCCGCTGGCTTTGTGCTCAGTTCGCAGTGCAACTCGATGCTGCTGCTGCTAGTCACCTTCGGCATCGCCGGCTTCGGCCTGGCGCTCTGCTACGTTGCCGCCGTCGTCATCGTCGCCTACTGGTTTGAGCGGAGACGATCCCTGGCCACCGGGATCTCCCAGTGCGGCAGCGGCATTGGCACTTTTATTTTTGCGCCGCTCACACAGTTTCTTCTGTCAAAGTGAGCACTCAATAATGATTCATGCATTTCTGATTTATTTAAAACAATTTTGTCTATTTTCATAATTCTGGCAAAAAAGAATTCTGCGGTGATGAATTTTTTATATCCAACCCATTCATTATGATATGAGAAGGTTGATGGTTTATTTTTCCAATTAATGCAAACCATTAATTAATTAAAAATCATTATTTAGGCAAATATTTTAGCAACATTTCCTTGAAAATATGTATTAATTTGGGATTCACAGATTGATTTCATTTTGGAATCATAGAAGAGACTTTTCAAGATTAATTTTATTAAGTTTTTCTGATCAATTTATTTATTTTTGTATTTCATATTTTAAATTTACTATGTATTGCTTTTTTCCGCTTGGATTCTGTATAAGAAGAAGAAATTTAAGTAACTTATTTCATAATAAACTAGAATGGTGGATTTTATTAAATTTTTGGTTGATTCCTATATCTGATGAGAATCATTATTCAAATGCCAACTAATAATTAATTTGAATCTTCACAAACCATTTATAAATATGACTATTTTTTTTTAGGTATGGCTGGCAAGGAACATCTTTCATCTTGGCCGGCTGCTTCCTCAACCTGGCAGTCTGCGGCGCCCTGATGCGCGACGTCCGGCCGCAGAGCAGGCAACGAAAACGCCTCTCGAGCGAGACAGAAAAATCGACAGCGCCGCCGGCAGAGCTTCCGAATCCGGACGAACTTCGGCAACTCCTGGAAAACGGCGGAGAGGAAGCGAACCGCCTGTGCAGCTCTCTGGTGGCCCTGCCGACCTTTGTCAAGAGCGGCGAAAAAGTCCCGCTGGAGGCGCTGCAGCGATTGGCCGCCCAGAGGCCAATGTACGACGTGCTCGTGCAAAACTACCCTGGCCTGCTCATGTCCCACAGTATGAGTGCCGGCGGCAGCAAAGAAGACACGGCTCTCGCCATTCCCGAAAACACTCTTGCCCCTCCGCAGAATTCGCACCATCCGAGAAAACTGCACTCGGCCTTTCTCAAAGACCTAAGAGTTCACAGGTATTTATTCCATCTAAAATCGTGGGTGGTTGATTAATTTTTTGAAAAATTCCAAGGCATTCGCTAACATACCGAGGAGCAATGTTGAACATCAATCGCTACCGCTTGAGAGCTTCGTCCTGTCCGGACATTTATCGCAACTCAATGACCACAATTGATGAAGAAAAAGACACGGTTTGATACTATTTTTATTTATTTAAGATTTTGAATACTTATTCTTTTGTCTCTTCAGTGGTACTCGGGCCTAGCTGAAATCAAGAGTGTGATGCTGGACATACTGGACTTCTCGTACTTCACAGATCTTCGCTTCACGCTCTTCACCCTTTCGAACTTTCTCCTCTACTTGTGGTATGATGTGCCTTATGTCTACCTGGCCGACTACGCCAAAGAGTTGGGCTTCGCGGAAAACAAAGCTTCGATGTTGATCAGCGTCATTGGCTTGTTAAACATGGTCGGAGAGGTAAACCGAGTTGCTTAATTTATTAGCCCAGTTTGCAATGAAAACTTTTGTACAGATTGTGCTTGGCTGGGTCGGAGACAAAACGTGGATCAGTGCGAACCACGTGTACGCCATCTGCATGGTCATCTGTGGCGCCGCCACTGCGTTGATTCCACTTTTCACCGATTACAACATCATTGCTGTGATTGCGGGCGTGTTTGGCCTGTTCATTGGTGCCAATTACTCGCTTACATCAATTATTGTGGTTGAGCTGATCACACTGGACAAGTTCACGAATGGTTACGGACTTCTGCTGCTCATCCAGGGCATTGCCAATCTTGTAGGCCCACCATTAGCCGGTGAGGTTCTAAAACCTATTTTTTTTTATAATGTATTCTAAATTAAATAATTAATAACTAACGTATTTTAAATTTTGATTCAGGTTGGATATATGACATAACCGGAAACTACGACCTCTCATTCTACCTAGGCGGCTTCTTTATTGCCGTCTCTGGAGTTCTCCTCATGATTTTGCCCTTCGTCGAGACAGTCAAGAACCACAAAAGCAAAAGCCGCAAAGAGAAGAAGACGGTGATGCAGGTCAACGGCAAGAAACCAACTCAAATCATCACTCCGACCACCGAGAAGGAAGCTATGAAAGCCGCCAACGTTTGAAGTTTTAAATTTTCTGATGGGGAAGAATCTCTCTCGTCGCCTCGTCCGGGGCGTAGCATTTTTCCAGCTTTCCTTGCTTAATTTTTGTAGCTCAAAGGTGAAACTCAAGGAAAGCAGTTGTTTGTTTGCTCTCAAGTGATTTGGGCTTTAAGCGCACTGAGAAGAGATTTTCTGTGTCGACCCGAGAGAGGGATTTCATGAATGATCTCAAATATATGCGCGCAGGCATCATGCAATATTAATTCACAATCTTCCGCCTGCCATTTTCGATATGCTTGAAAGCAACTTGTTGTTGCTGGACGAGTCAAGTTTCACTGGAAATACGAAAGCTCGGTCAAGTCTGTCTGGCTCTTTCTAATCAAAGTCATTCTCGAGGGATGGGCGTCGCACCAAAAGTTGCCACTGCCGCTGTGATCGAAACCATTCTGAATTGCAGACAGCATGGTCATGTCAAGGGAAAAATAATTCTGCTAGACTTCAGTCAATAAAAGACTAGAAGAGAAGACACTTACATTGGATGTATATTGTGTTCCTATTTATATAATAATTATACTTTTTGCCATTTGTACGACCAACACTAATTTTTCTTTGCGAAAAGGGCTGTTTCAATGGGCTATATTATTAATTTGCAACTACGTACGATATGATTGCCTGTAGATGCCTTAACTTTGATTTCTGCAATTCAACTGGAAAAATTAGAAGAGAAAAAATGTATACTGTGTAATTCTGAAGGGGTAATAAAACCTACAAGCTCATAACAATCGACACAGTTTGAACACCAAAATTAATTCATGTGTGAACATGGGTGAATTTTTTGAAGAATGGATGAGTTACGTAATATAAAAAAATATTATCTCATTATAGTTGAAGGTAAAAGTCTGATAATCTCTATAGTTGTACATATAAACATGAATTGATGCAACTTGATGTATTTTTAGCTGGCTTGACGCAGCAGCAATAATTTGTCCTCCTTTTCAATTTACTACAAATATTAATAAATTTATGCGTTTAAGCGTATCAGGATAACAATTAATTTTCCTGCGACGGGAATATGCAAAGAAACTATACTGAAGGCCAAGCAAATTGTGCGCATTCAATTTTGTTCATACAAAAATTACAATCTTAAATAATTTAACATTGTTAACATAATTAAATCTTTTTGATGCATTGCACATTGTAGGAAAAAAGTGAAAAAAATATGCATAGGCAGCAGTCAATCGGATCAGTACAAGTTGATGAATTCAAATAATGCAAGTGACGTGTACAAAGGACATTGCTTTTGGCACTTTTATTAGCGAATGCACGCCAAACACACACTATAGTTTTTGAGGTACCTCTTTTATTAGTTAATTTTTTGTCCCTCAGCACTACACTCAAAACGTGAACATAAAGATGAACAGATGCTGTTTAAGAATTAAAAAAAAATCAAATCATTATAATAATATTATATTATTATGTATAAATGAATCTGTGATTGAAATTTGAAAAATATTGCTAAGTATAAGATATATTTGCCTCTATAAAACAAAAGGTCTTAAAATAAAATGTGGAATTTTTTAAATTTGGATGTTGTGAGAAATTCATGGTTTATGGCGAATGGAGAAGTTTACTTTGTGATGACAGCATCGCGCATCACAACAATTTATTACATGGATCGAACACATTGATTGTTGTTTCAGCCTTTTAAGCAACTTCACATTAGCATATTCAAATTAAGTCTTTACAACATTAAATGATTAAAATTTCCAATGTTCTTCCAACAATAGAAAAAATCCGTTTCTATTTGTTGTGAAGACTTAATTTGATTTTGTCTCAATCAGAAAGCTCGGCAACAGTAAAAAATTGCTCTAATTGTTGTGATGCTCGCACCTTCTGGGATGGTAGTTGAAATGAGCGAGAAAAAGTGCGTGTGCCAAAAAGATAAATTGGTAAATTGGAGATTCTTGGTGAAAAAAGCAATCACAAGTGATTTTGTGAGGAGAAATATTAGAAGGAAAAATACTCTCTCTTCACTTTTACCTCGTTTAAAATGCATTTTAACATTCGCTTCTGCATCAAATTTCAGCTTTGTTGTAAATATCTTTTATGAACCAAGAAACAAAGCTCTTAATGAAGTGTAAATTCACCAGGCATAAATAGTTGAAAAGTTTCCCATCATAAATAATAATTTTATTATATTGGTAGTATTTAACTATCACAGTATAAAGCGAGGAAAAAATAAAGAAAATTGTTACAAAAAATGTGTTTTTCTTTGCCATATCCCATGTAAATCCTAGTAATATTTATTCTTCACGGACAATAATTAATACAAATTAGTAATTGTTTAAATTGGAAAAGGGAATTAAAGGTTTTAGCCCGACATCAAAAAAGACTCGGCCGCCGTGGTAAACTTTCCGGACATAATTAGATGAATTATAAAAAATATGCTATTGCTGTCTTCAAAATTCTGGGTCATAAAGCCTTAGAAGTAAATTCAAAAAGATTGAATTCAAAACATTTGCGTACTACTGGGGTGCAAAGTGCACCCTTCTTAAAACTTCAGTTTCAAAGTTTTTAATTCTGGATAATTATTTAAAATATTTCTTTTAATTTAGATTTGCCTGGTTTTTGTGCCTACGTCCTGAAGGCTCTCTGGCAGGCTGTCACCCTGTTGCTGGCCCTCATCTGGGTGCGACTGAGTGAAGGTCGATGCTCCCACCTACTGATGCAGAACCCTCCGTCGGTGCCAACTCTCGGGGTGTGCTGGATCTTCTGCCGAATTGTCAACCCCAAGTGTCGATTCATCATCGACTGGCACAACTACGGATACTCAGCAGTCATAGCAGCTGCGCCTCTTTCCAATAATAAGACATTATATAAATTAAATAGTAAAAAGATGCACGAGAAAAGCCAAGATCCTGACTCGTACCCATTCTTGGTCTGCGTCATCACAGGCAAAGGGCCTCTTAACAAATTAGTAAAATACCAAAGGTCACATAATATAAATAAACTATTTTTAGAAAATTTTGTGGAAATTTTCGATGACCATCCCAAACAATGAACCCCTTCGCCCAGGATTGCCAATGCCAAGCCAATTCCTTCTGTTGCACCCGCCTGCAACTGCAGTGGCGAGGCGAGTGTGTTCGCGGTTTGCTTTGCATTGCGAGAGCGCAGAAGAGAACGAGAGAAGCAGGAGCAGCGAAGGAGCCTTCAGGACAACGTGGAGTATGAAAGCAAGAACCAAATTTGCTTACAACCAACAGAAAGGTGGGTCAAATTTATTTAAATGTTTCCATAGAAAGTAATGTGGCAATTAAGCTGATTTTCCATGCTAAATCTTGTGCACTGTCTAGAAACTCTTTTAGGACCACAACCCTGGTCATATACCTTTTAACATTAAATAAAGACATATTATTTGAGCTTATAGTACTATTGGGACTAAAATTACACTCTGTTAAGGCATACGAACGTAGAAACTGTAAATGGGGAATCGATCTGCAGTCTCTTCTTCAATGCCCACTGGTGGGCCAGTGGTTCATCCGTCACTGTGCGCTTCCCAATCTCCGTTGGTCCCATTCTTGGTGATGTAGACGTGGGAGCCCCATGGTTGGCCTTCGTGCTGCAATTTGCTTTGTGGCGACAGAGGCTGATTTGCATCACTCAAATCTAGGTTGCTCGGAATGGTCAGATTTCTGATGTCGATTGGGTTGAGCAAAGCAGGCTGGATGTTAGGTCTGCGTGCTGCAATGAGAAAAGCAAGTTTTAGTTATGCTCGGCGATCTAGTTATTATTTGTCCTTTATGACTCAATACTGCAGTTGAGGGTGTTTTGTTTTGATGAAGAATAAATTAAATAAGGATTTGTCAAGAATCAAAGAGAGAGTTGGATGAGAAGTGATTTTGTGAAGAGCAAATAAACTTATCATATTAGCATAATTTCTTCTCTACCCTCGATAACTTTTACAAATCATTAGTCCTCATTTAATAACTGCTCCACCAGTGGGAGAGAGGCAGTGACAGTTTGAGTTGAATTAAAATATTAAACGAAATTAAATTAATTTTCTATTTTTTTCTTCAACGACTTTCAGAGATTATTCAAAACTTTTCTCACCACCAATGAATCCAACCAGATTGTACTTTGACTCATTTCGAAGCAACAGAGTCTCTGGAATGTCACCATCAGCAATGGCTCCTACCAGGTTTTTGCCCTCACTGAATGTCACGACAAGCATCTCGGGAGTGGCAACCATTTGTAACATAAGATTTCCATCGCACTGAAAAAACAATTTGTAGGTAGTTAATTATTCAAAAATTGAAAAACTAAATTTTACATTTTCTTGCGGGCAGAGGTCCTGGGCAGCCATGTTGTCAACATCGGATAAACGACGAACCTCTGGTAAGGTCAAAAATGGTTTTTCTTGACATCTAGTCACAACTTCATAGGGGCACCTGGTGCAATGTAGTCTTCGAACGAGAATAATTTGCAGGTTGATGTCAACCTATCCAAATTATCTATCTGGTTGCAGTCGCTGCGGAAATGGACAACATTAAGAGAGCAAAGCACAAACCAAAGTAACTTACGATAGGGTCATTGCTGCTATTTGGAAAAGGCGCTCTCCCTCCTGCGTTAGAGATCCATTGCAGGATATTATCGACACAAACAGCTGGCGAAGGGCAGGGATTTTGCAACGGGAGATAATCAACGAGCATGCCTCAACCAGCTGTGTGTATGAAAGAAGTTACCATATATATTAATCCACAATGTTGAGCATACTTAATAATAATATATATATCAAATTTGAGTTTGGTGCTTAAGTATGGTAGTCTGTAGTAAAAGTTAAAACGTTAAAACTCACATTTTTCCTGGAAAAATCCATGAGCAGATGAAGAAAAGAAGTAAGCGCTCCTTGATCTTTCATTTTCAACATTTCAGTTGGCTGACGGATGCTTTCCAAAGATGGAATTTTATTACGGAACCTTGTCCGAACGACAAGGGAATCCTCGGTAAGAACCGCTAAAATAAATAAATAATTCATATAATTTACTGAGTCGTATAATAGACAAGAACTTTCTCTAGAGAAATACCAAAAAGAATATATCCTGAAGATATAAATAGGTAGAAGAAAATACGTACGAGTCAAGTCGACGTCCCTTGTCTCAAGCAGCTGGAATAGCTGGATGTGTGGAGTAAAGACAACTAACTATATGGGGTAAGACGAAAATAATGTAAGAGACGGGCCCCATGTGGAGTGTTTCGTAAAATTCATATTAAAACATACCAGGCAGGCCAGGCAAAATTTGGATGTCAGTTCGCACACAACGACACACCTGCCAAAGAAAGTGGTTGACATGTTCCGTTGTGGACTCCCAGTTTTGGTATTCGACTTGAAATGGAAGGTCACAATAGAATGATAAAAAAAAATTTAACACATCCAAAAATTTATATATTTTCAATTTTGAAACTGAAGTTAATTTATTTAAATATTCTCCATTTGATTAAACAGTCACGAGTCATTAATACAGCAAAAAACTTAAACAGTCAAACTTAAAAAAATTCATCTTTGCAGCTTGGGAGAACTTGTGCAAGGTGTTTCCGGATTTGTCCGAATAAGCAAAACAACTGCTCGACTGGCTGATTGGATATTTCAGTGACCTGAAGCAGCAGCAGCTGCAGAAATCATTCAGAGATAATACATATCAAAAAGTGGGCACAACTGCGCTCGGACCAAAACTGGAAAAATTAGGCTGCTCCAATTTTTACTTACGACGATTAATTTTCGCATGGATATAGTTGCTGGGATTTTGACAAATGTTGTTATTGTATTTTCACAATATACAGAAAAATGAAGAATTAAATATTTCATTTGTCTCGAAACAATTAAGATGAAGAAATAAATTATGGGCGGAGAAAATTGTTAAAATGCATGTGAGAGGATTGACGGTCACCTAGACCAGCAGCTTTTCAATCTGAAGCTGGAATCATGGAATCAGTAGAAGAGGCAACAAACAAAATTCTCCTCATTCATGCATAGTATTTTCCTCTAAACGCGCCTCCATGAAAAGAAATTGTATCTCGCGGACAAAGAAATAAAAATGGAGAAACTTTCGCATCTAACGGGGTGCTGCGGAAAACTAGAACGTCAAGTTTGTTCACATAAGGTCTGCACGTTACTTGGGTGGTGCCATCTGCACCACTAATAAAGGGCACAGGCCGACAAGACTTCGTCTTGGTCTGACCCTAAAAAACAATAATAAAAAGCAAAAAGAATACCACGTATCAACAATGAGCTGCAGTTCTTCAGTCTTCACGAGCCACCTCGGTGAACACCAGATACGTGACGACCCAATTAGGGAACTCCTCCCTGGGAACTGCCTGTGGGGGTCCATGGGTCTTGTCATCGCTATGCATAAGCCAACCCACATTTGGTGCACCATCTTGATATGGAGAGAGGAACGATTGCCTTGACGGTTGTCCGTTTTCATGCTCAGCTTCGACTTGGGGAACTTCGACTTGGTTCTGATCGCGCAGCTGCGGCTCTTCATATGTTCTTGTCTCAACAAGACTGACAGGTCCAGCAGGTTGCTGCAGTTCTGTTCCCCTGACTGAAAATGAGAAAAACAAAATTATAGGCATTATAGCTGTCATTTAACAATGAAATAAAAAATTATTTGTAATTAATTAAACAATTTTTTTTGCCCAAACAAAGGGATCATATGCGGATTTTCATTTTATTTGAGTTAAAAGTCAAAAGAAATCAAGTAAGGTTATATTGAAAAAAAGGAATTGAACTCATTGCAGTATGTGCCTGCGCTTTATGTTGTAAGGTAAAGCTTACATTTAGATTTAGTCTCCAAAAATTTTCTTAGAAAGTGATATAAATCTTTATTTACCGAGTGCTCCCTGCTGCCTGCAGTTTGTATTTGCGCCCGTCTCGCAGAACCACCGAGGCAGTCAGATCGTGGATCAAACTCTGAAGGGTGGTGTTGTCCTCGAAAATCACAGTAAAGACTTCCGGCGCCATGAGGAGGAACACATCAAGCTTCCCTTTACACAGAAAATCACCAAGAGTTATCAAAAATCCTAAAACCAAGTCTCATCACCACTTACATCCAAATCAGGGCAACGCTGTCTATCCATCAAGCTCTTTTCAGCAAGGTGAAATAACTTCTTCCAGAGAAGATTCGCATTTTCATTGCGAATCGGTGCGTATTCTTCGCAAATATCGCATTTATACTGTCTAAAAAGACAAGTCTGGAGGTTGACATCGAAGCTGACAATCTTGATCACTGGGTCGATGAATTGGTTTTCTCTAGAAAAATAAAATATAAGATACAAAATCTTCAAGCACAATATATAAACCAACCGAAGCGTGAGGATGCACATTTCATACAACCGCTCAACCGCATCAGAGAGTATTCCCTGTCCAAACATCAACTCTTCAAAGAAGGCTCGTACGATCGGAACAGTGCAACGGCTTACAAAGAGGGAGCCGATCGCGCGCCTCTGCATACAAAAGAGTTACAAGACAAATTTTTTTTTAAATTTGTAGACAAGTAAAAATTATTAAGTAAAAATCATCTGGGAACATAGAAAAATATAAAATTCTCACGTTCGGGTCCCTCGCAAGCTCCATGAACAAGTGAGCAACAGCCGTGAAAGGGCCGTTGTCTTTGCGTTTCATTTCTTCGGAGGGGCTGCGGACGAGAGCCTTGGATGGGATTTTCTTGCGAAGTCTGAGACGCTACTCGTGCGTCTCCTCGGTAAGAACTAAAATATACAAAATAAATAGATTCAAGTGTACACTGCATATAAAAAATAATTTAGTAACTCCTCAACAACTGATAAAAATTAAAAGCTTAGCAATTCACTTTTGAGAAACCTGTATTAGATTAAATTAATTTTGAGGTGAGGCGCTCGAAGAGAACAGACATGCACTGCTTGAGCTCCCCACCAAAGCACTACTTCTGCCTTCTTAGAGGGTATTGCACAGTATAACCCTGAAGAAGTGGAATGCGGTGGCGATGTGGAGCTGGGATGTCGAGTGCGACACCTGTGCCATTTGCAGGATACAGGTCATGGGTGAGTGGCAGAATTTCAGCATCTCAATTTGTGTTTCTGATCTTGAACCTTCTTTCGCCGCAAAATAAAACAAAATTCTTACTAAAACGGACTAAAACATTGACGATTTCTTGAGAAATTATATTTTGCTCGTTACGTGAGTTTATAAAGAATAAGAAATTTAATTAAGACCAAATCTATATAATTCAGCCGATTCCTCAGTCGATTGCGGAGCCTTGCGGGCCCCGGCTGGGAAACGCCCAAAGGGCTGAGTTTATTTTGGGGTCATTTAAACAAAAACAAAAATAGTCGGAATTTTGACCCATAAAAAAAAAAATAAAATTAGCCTCGATACGATCTGGGCAATAGCATATACATGCCTAAGATTGTGGCAGCGGCGCCCTGCGTAATGCGTGAGGAAGGTCGCGAAGGCGATCCGCTAAAAAAATGCGCGACCGTGGATTGCGTTTCTCTAGCGCATGAAAATGCATAAAAAATCCTTGCATGCACATTAAGTGCCAATGCCAGCTCGAGAAGCTGGATATGAAGCATATGTGCTGTTACATCGCCGACCGGAGCGTTCACATTCTCGGAATACGCGCCAGTCGTGCAAGCAAAAATGATCGAGACTGCCATGAGTAAAAACTTCAACAGCTACATTGGCCAGCTCATGGATAAAATGGACCAGAATCATTCAGAGCTTGTCAAAATTGCCGCTGAACAAAATGAAGAAATAAAAAAAACTCGGAAAAAGTGACGAGAAAAATAAAGCACACAAAATTCATTACAGCGATGTGTACAAATTCCTGCCACGAATTAATTGGACAGAATTATTGAACACACATGACCCTTTCGCTGCAATAGCCGAAATACTGCAGGAGGTCAAAAGAGCGAATGTAGAGAGAAAACACGCACACACTGCAAATAGTGCAAGGCACTCCAAAGAATGGCTCACCGACGAAATAAAACTCCTCACAGAGACACGCGATAAATATTTCTTGCGATGCAAAAGAAACAAAAGTAATAAAAAATACAGAAAAGAGTACGTGAAAATTAGAAACCTGACCAATATTAAAATTAAGCAAGCAAAAAGCTTTTTCTATAAAAAAATTGTTAAATGATAGTGCAGGTGACTCGAAAAAGACGTGGCAAACGTTAAATGAAATTCTTGGCAGGTCAGTCACAAAAATTGACGATAATATTTTACGATATATGCCTCCCACACTCTCAATGAGTAATATCCTGGAAAAATTTGGTTAACAATTTTCAACAAATGTGCAAAATCTGCGCCACTTCTGTGATTTCACAGCTGTTAAAAATCAAAACAATGAAAAAAGTGAGCAACAATCGTTGCGTATGCCTCTGTGTAATGCAGCAGTTATTGAGTTCATAATTGAAAAACTCAACAAAAATAAAGGACCCGGTCTTGATAAAGTTGAAGTGAAAGACGTAAAAGTGGCCGGAAAAAACTTTGCACTAGCCCTTAGTAAAATGATAAACAGCTGCATTGTAAACGGAATTTATCCTAGATGCTTGAAAACTGCGATAGGGCGGCCCATTTACAAAGGAGCAGCTCACAAAGACCCTGCGAACTACCGCCCAATGGCTATTCTGAGTGTGCTGGACAAAATACTCGAAAAATATATTGATATACATTTGAATGCTTAATTAAAAAAAAAACACAAGATCATAGATGCGAGGTAATTTGCCTATCAGAAAGGCAAAGGAGTTAATGAACTGTTTGGAGACCTCTCTGATTATGTAAATAATAATCTAAGCAATAAAGAACATACTCTTGCCCTCTTTTATTGATTACAGCAAAGCATTTGAAATACTCGATCACGACATACTTTTCCACAGAAACTTGAGAAGATTGGAATAAAGAGGACCTATGCTGAAACTTTTTGAAAGACAGAAAGTTCTGTGTGCAAATTGATAAACAAAACAGTGCAGTTTTAAAATCAGGTGTCCCTCAGGGCTCAATTTTAGGCCCGAAACTATTCATAATTTATATCAACGATAGGCAAAAATTTTCATCTTTCCGGACGATATTTTAATTTTATGCCACCACAAAATTTATATTGAATGCCAGTGTATGCTGCAGTATAAATTTGACTCATTGAACGAGTGGGCTCACGGTAATAAATTGATGATAAACATGAAGGAAACGGTCGGCATGCATTATTGTCAAAAACTGCAAAGGCCAGACGAGCCTCCTCAAATTACGGCGCACATTGATGATTGTATGCTCAATTGTTGCGTTGGCTGCCAGTGTGGAAAAATAAAGTTTTCAAAAACAACAAAATACCTCGGAGTGATACTAGATGAGGATTTTAATTTTTCAGCGCACATAAAAATTAAAGACCGACTTATGCAGATAGTTCAAGATGCGGAATAGCATCAGTAATTAATTGCAATAGAAAAATTTAATACACCAAAATAAAAAATGCTGCACAAAAAAAATAAAAAAAATTCTCAGCTTCAAACAAAATGCAATCACCAACATTACAATATATTGTAAAGTATCCCTCTCTCAACTCCATTCACCCACACCATTCATATAACTATAACTCCATGATAATCCTCTCTTTCCAATCAGCATCTACCAACAAAACCATCAGGACTCGTCAACGTTTCGACCGACAAATCTCGTGTCGAATTAATAAATGATGATTAATTGATGACAATAAAGATAAAATAAAAAATAAAATAAACAAAAACCCAAATAATAAGATTGGAGCTTGCCTTCCGCAAGCTCAATAAGGGTACAGGCCAACAAGATACTTTGTCTTGGCCTGACACAAAAAAAAAGAAAAAAAAAAAATTATCTATAAGTAACTTTCAAAATGCACTTACCAGCAATGCCAACAGCTCCCATATCCTCCAGAAGCTCGACAGAGGGTGCAAAGAAGACTGTTTGGGATAAAGGAAGTAGCAATTAGAACTTGATCAGGTGAGGTTTGGCAAAAACCTTTATTTTAATGGTGTTGAAAAAAATTCGAAAAATTTAAATTTTAACTCTTTAAAGTGAAAAGTGCGGTGAGAAGATTCAATTCTATCACATTTTAGACAGTGTAAAGAATGATCTAAATCTAGCTCAAGCTAAAAAAATCCTGAAAAAGAAGAATTCTTTCCCTCTTGCCTTTTTTTAGAACTGTTTTTTTTTTTAAATCTTCTTTTGCTATTATTCAAGGCGATAATCGAATAAGCTTTTGTCACTGCGCACTCATTGTGCCGAACCACTAAGGTTGGTTTCTTGACCCGGCACCAGCTATTAAGCAGTTAATAGCTGGGTTAATAATCTGCGCAATTCGCACCCTGGTCCAGTTCCCTAGAGTGGACCTAAAGGTTGTCAGTCACAAATATAAATGTTTTTTTTTCTCAACTTTTAACACTTTTTCAGTCTTTAAATATTAATTTTTTAAATTCGTACTTAAAAATATCCCCCAAATCCTTTTTAATTACTAAATTTCAGTCAAAACTAGTTTGTCAGCTGGTTTTAATCCAGATTTTCACAACTTAAATGCCAAGAGCGGAGCGATGCTAATTCTGCAAATTTTATTTTTAAAAGTAACCAATTTCCATCAACAAAGATTTGAAGAAAAAAAAATACCCATACCTGTCAGAGAATCTGCGTATTGCATTTTTTCGAGATTACTCCTATCTCTGCACATGCTTGGGAAGAGCTGGTCCCTAATGAATTGATGAGCTGTGTGTGGGAACTCAATCTGGTGCTGTCGTAGAGCAATGAGGGCTAAAAATTACACTTAAGTTTCCATTTTGAATTATTCATTAAATGCTATTATACTTGATGCGACCAGACGAGCGAAATCAGGAACAACACGGTGGTTTGACTGGAATGCGTTTCTCGCAGCCAATTGTGTAGCAGCGTATGCAGACATTTCCTGCACAGCGATGTCCTTTTCGTAATAGTTGACAATATTGTTCAACGTGTGCATGGCATCTACGTTAGCTTCAATAGCTTCATTATCCAGCGATGTGACGAAATCCGAAAGCGTAGCCCATGCCACGCCCGTTCCTCTGGTCTCACGACTAAGGAAGCAACTGACAGTCCTTAAAACGTGTAAATAAAAATAAATAAAAATAAACCTGGATAGTGAATACGGTGAGCAAACCGCGCACGCTTTAAATGTTTCTGCTATTTTAATTTTTTCTCATACGTTCAAACGAAGGTAGTTTTCTAAGTTAATAATTAAAATAAAAATTTTTGATTTTTAATTTGCACAATGAGAAAATTGTAAGTTTAAATTCCAGTAGATCACGCTAAATACAAATGATCTCAGAAGTATGAATATTAATAATATATAAATAACAATGCAAAAGGAGCGGAGCAGGGAGAAGAAAAGTGAGAACAAAAATATCAGTAAATATTTCCTTCTACTTACAGCACTCTGTTGGCCATAGTAATCAGTGATTCTGGAAAGAAAAAAATTATGTGTCATGAGCTTTTCTGGGAAAAATGAAGTGGGCGTCATCGGCTATGTATTAAACCATATATTCATTCTCTTTTTAAACTTCGAAATTTATGCTTTGACCGAGAAGAATAAATAAATAGCCAACAAGCGAATTCAAAAAAAGATCAAGAGGATGTATGCGTATCTGCTGTCTGCTGAGGAAAATGCATACTTGAAATGTAATATAAAATGGGAATCTAAACCCCACCCCATCGCAAATTCAACAGAAGAAATGTATATTTCATGGGTAAATTAAAACAGAGCTTTTGAATAAAAAAAAAATATATCAATTTTTCAACCACTATGCAAAGAACATTTTTTCCAATGAAATGATTGAAGCCTCAGTTAAAATAATGTTCAATTGTATATTTTTCTGAACAATTGCATCAATTGGAATGTTTACGCTACAAAACGTTTGTCGTCTTATAGTTTCATTGACGCGTCCCTTTTCAATGACAGGCGTTTTGGCACATTAAAATTCAATTGACATTTATTCTGTGTAAGATAATTGCAATAATTCTTTTTCTATCATCAAACATAAATTATTTTTAGTTGAGTTCCACGCGAAGCTCGAAAAGCAGAAAAAGATGCTTCAAATTTTTTTTAAAGTGGCTCCGTGTGTACACCGCAAATTTCAAAAAAGTACGAGCGCTGCGGTGTACGAAGCGTTGCGTTGGATGGAGTTTTACTGAATTATCGCCAACAAGTTGCGCGTTTCAAATGCTTGGAAGATTCAGCGCGCCGTTCTTTCTTATATATAAAAAAAAAAAAAATTGATTTTGTACCCTCCATGGCTGCAAAGTGCATACCCTTCTCAACATGTACGAGCGATTGCGTATCCTTTTGAATGATGAAGCAGCGCACACATTTGTTTTATATCGCCCCTTGATCTACAAGAAAGCGATTTAATAATAATTTAGATGCGGCGCACACATGAAACTGCCGTCAAAACAACCCTCATCTGCGGTCCTCATCTGCATATTCGACCAGAAGTATCGTGACTTTGTGACACTTTCTCCTTTCACGGCCGCCGAAATGACGTGGGCAAGGATGATTCTTTAAAAGCCCGAGCGCATCGCCCTGACGTGGTCTTCGTCTTTCAGCAGGCGTCTCGTCTGTGTCGTGCGGCTGACCTCTGACGAGAGTCATGCGTGTTTACTCAGACTCGAGTGTTAAGAGAAGCTCAGCAACAGTCGGCGCTGCCCGCACAGTGAGCTCGGATTGCGGGTTTTTAGGGCCCGTGCCGGCTCCCTGCTGGATGTTGCCCAGAAGTGTGCGCCGCTCCGAGTGATTAATTTTCGCCCGCGAGTCTCTCCAATATTTGCGAGCTGGCGCTCAGCGCAGCAGCGATCCGAGAAACGCGGTGCTAACAAGAGTTCCTAGAGTTTTTAGGACAAAATCGCGTGTGACAAAATATTTGGATTTCAAGGATCTATCTCAAGGCGAATTTGTTGCGAGTTGATCTGAAATTTCCAGTGTTTGTTCGCAAGATGATTGTGTCTGATTTTTCGCAAAATAAAAATAAAAATTGAGGAACAAAAGACCACTTGTCATTTGAAAAAAAAAACACGCTCTATAACTGAATAATTGTGAGATGAGCTTGAAAATTGGAATTATGGCTACCAGTTTGTCTCTAGAGAATAATTTGCAAAGCGGACAGAAAATATTATTTAATTTCCATCATTATTTGGACAGTTATAATTTTCCAGATGAATCTAATTTTTGGTGATTTGTTTCCACTGGAGAACTAACAAGGTAGACCTGGCGACATTTTACACAAGAATTTGTTTGAAATAATTTTTTTTAATTAAATGTTGAATTTTTGTGATAAAAACCGTTTTACGCAAACATTGTACTTTTGAATAAAAAAAAAAAATTAATCTTGGTAACATATTTTTTCATCCTACATGCACCGCGAATTATTGATGCTGCCCGCAACTGAAACAGGTAGAGCAGCATTTTTGTTTATATATCAATGCAACCGCGATTTATTTATATTTTTTTTTTAATTCGTTCCTTTAGATTGTGTATAAGTGTGTTCGTAAATATCTGCATTTTTTTTTTAAAGTTCATGATTACCAGAGAAGGAACGCGCTCCAAGGGGGTTGGAAAATTTTTCAAGCAAAAGAACATGTCCGAACATGTTAAATATCAGATAAAAAAAAAATGGATGTTATCTCTTAACTACAACATAAATGCACTATATTCTGGTATATTTCTTCCCAGTAAAACTTAAATGAGAGCTAACATAAATAGCACACAAAAGGCAGACAATTATCGCAAATTGGCTAGGCTGTAACATAAACTAATGAATAATTTGATAATACAAATAAATTTAAAACAAATCAAACCAGTTTTATTCACTAATATTTCTGTGATAACATTCTTCATGTGCTGAGCGCACAGAGCGATGCGCTTGTGAAAGGTTGCGCTTGCACTCTGCGCTCGCGATCAGGATTTTGAAATCCCGGCTGCGCGGCGCTTGAAACCGCAGAGCGAAGAATCAGTTTGTTTTCCACTGATGCTGACAAAATTTTTGCGTCGTAAGGTTTCTGCGGAGTAGTGTGAATCCCATGAGGTTATATTTAATCTAATTTTCATAGATTTTTATATTTTTAAGCCGAAGTTACTCAATGTATTCAACATAGAGAAAGAGAATTTAGCTGTAGCATAGAGTTGTAAACGCTGAGAGTGAAAAGGTGCGCGCCGAGTCCTTTGTTATGCGTCACGCGCTCTTTTGTTGTCGCGCGAGTGACGCGGGACAAATTTTCTATGTTTGAGAATATGAGTATTTTTTAAGACGCTCATCGGTCTATTTTAGTAAGATAAGAATGAGTTTATTTTCTCGTCAAACTGATCTTAGCCGAAAGTTAAACGAGAGATTCGACGACACCTTCGGCAGGTTGAGAGTGCAGGGCCCATGACTCAAATTAGCTTACAACTTACTGAACTTGTGGGGTGAACACAATTGTATGGGGTTAAGACAAAAATGATATTTAAGAAATGGGGCCCAGAGTGGGGTTTCGTAAAATTTATATTACACATACCCATCAGTCCAGGCACAATCAAGAGCGGCAAATCTGTTAGAGCAGTGGTAATTGGAAACATGAGGTGGCGGAGCTCGTTGTAATTGCATATCAGGTAAGGAATCATGGCCCCTTGAATGCCACGAAGTGCTGAAAAAATATATTTTATTTAGTTCTAAATAATTCTATATTATAAACTTTACATGTAGCAACGCAAAGAGGAAAATCTGGAATTGTTCTGTGAACGTTGCTGAAAACGCTGCGGGCAGACTGATAATTGGGAGAATATGACCCAATCTCGGCTATGATCAAAATCTTCTCAAAATCGTTTGTGATGGCGTTCATAGTGCCCATAACTCTGATATCCTCTCTCAGGGTCGCTACATCTTCGTTAGCAATTTGTGTTAGGCGATCAGAATAAACCGCACCACAAATTGCCATTAAACGCCGCTCTTTGCAAACAAAGGAGTTGGAGTTCCTAAAAAGAAAAAGAAAATGAAAAAATATAAAACAATTAACAAATAAAATTGCAACCCATGATTCAAATACCATTGGTGCCGCTTGGTTCAAACAGTGCGTCAACTGTTGTTGACAAGAAGCCACTAGTGGGCAGGACGCAACAGATACAAAAGCTTTGTTTAACACGAAAATTGACCGGAATCTCTCATATAGATCTAATGACTCATGAGGAGACTGCTGTCAACACAATGTAATGAATCTATGCGACGCGCCACACTTGCAACGTAGTTAAGTGTAAAAAAAAAAATTATATTTATAGAAAAAATTAAAAACACTCTCATAAGAAGTTAAAATTTGGAAATTTTTAATTTGTTTCCAAAGCATTTTCAAATTATTTTTTACAATAATGACAATATGAGGCTTAATTCTCTAATTGAATTATTTAATTTTAAGCCAAATTAATTAATTATTTCATGGAATTTTTCGTTCTTGGTAAATTCTTATGATTTTAACACCCAAGATTATCGTTGGCAGCAGTGCTTTTGTGGTTTGCTTTCTGACCAAGAGACTCTGGACAAGAAGCGCCACTTAAATTCTAAATAGATGAAGTCTGATAAATAAGAAGTCAAGATATGCGTCCCGAGGCTTAGATCTAATGCTTTTGGGCAAGTCGCGTCTTGACCACAAGTTGCTTTTTGTCGACAACATTAGCACCAAACTCTAGCTTAGAAAAAATACAAATTATCCATATACTTACAGTAACAGATGAGCCATTTCGCTGCAGGCTTGGAACTGAAAACAAAAATAAGTGTTGTGAGCGTTTTATAAGAACGGGCAATCACATAATATAAAATTTTGCTTAAGATTAATTTGATTTTAATGCCCGGATGTTTATTTAGGGGGACCCACTTAAAAGGCTTTAAACGCCTAAAATGAGGCGTTCCCCAAAAGTTTGGCATGTCAATATTTACACACACACACACACACACACACACACCAGCGCGCGCGCGCACGCACGCACCAAATGAGACGTCTTTGCTAAACGATTTTTAGGCTTGAAATTAATCGCAGCGATTGCAGCGACGATTTTTGGCCAGAAATGTATTGGACTTTTAATTTATTCATTATTATTGAAAAAAAAAAACGACACTGCCAGTTTTGATAATGGTGTGCGACATCATTTCATGAGAAAGAAAAATACAGCGATGTCCGTTGAAAATTATAAAAATATTGCTTATTCAGTTTAATTGTTCCCAAGCTCTCTTCATTTCGAGGCTCATGAGCTTGCTGGTGGTGAGTTGATAAGCGCAGCCCTCGAATATTTGAGATTCAGTCGGTTAAAAGAACATGTAACGTGGAATCCTAAGGGGAGAGTGGATTTATAAAATAACAAGACTTTTGCAATTTGCATTGCTACTTTTCATTGGAAATAAATATTTATAAAAATTCTCTACATCAAATTATTTGACAGGGTTTACGTGATTTATTTCAATTTTTTAACCTTTGGGACACTAGGCCTGACACCTGGGGACAGCCAGAACACACCAGACACTAGAGCATGCATTCTTAAAAGCGCAACTCGCCCCTACCAGCAAATTTAATGAGCATCCTTTATTACTCTCTAAACGGCTGAATCAGGGCTGAATATATATTGATAAAAGTTGAGATTCAGAATAAAAAATTAATCTAAAAAATATTGGTCATTTCAAAATAATTAAAAAAATCAGTAAAAAAAATAAAATTTTCAGTTTTTGATCTAATCGTACGCAAATAAAAAAATTAATGACATCAAGCATATGAAAGAAATTATAGAGGATTGAATTAGCTACGTATATCTTTAAAATTTAAATTTAAAAAAAAAAAAGTTCTCTTTTTATAAGATTGACGCGCGGAACCAAATTCTCGCGGAAACGTCAATAACTCTGCTAATAATTAAGATTTTCAATTATACCCAACGTGAAAAGTTAAAGGATTTCATTATCTATCATTGCTGAGAATTTGAATTTATATTGTAAACTCTAAATTTGCTAATTAATTTTTCCCGTAAAACACAATAAAAAACCACGCCGCGCTCACCCTCCGTCAACTTACTCCCTTCCAGCTGACGCGAGCGAGTTCGACAAGGTGAGCCGCGCTGCGAGGTGTTGAAAGATTTTGGCAGATTATGCTTTGGCATCTTGGCGGATCGGAAAATAAATGGCACTATTCAACTCGACGGTAAATTTTGGTTAAAAAAAAGTATGATTTCAAACCGAGGAAAAATAATTTTCAGCGAATAAGCCGGGGCGAAAGTTGAAATTTTGTAAAATAGAAGTGGGACACCGCGCATTTCACTGATTTCATAAGTGATTTGGAGACGTTTATGCCAGCTGAATAATTATCAACTCACACAAGTTCCAAATCATTCAAAAAGATATCTCACTAATATTTGCCTGTTCAGAAAGAAAGAGTATACAAGTTTTAGTACCGGTCGTCAAAATCCACTCCGCTGCGTGATATTATTGCGATGTTTATTTTGATGTGTTTTGTGTTTTTGCCGGCCCCAGCCGTCAGGCCTAGTCTCCAGAAGGCTTAAAAATTGCAATTGATTAGCTCCAATATTCAGGTGGCAGCACTGCAACCGATCGGACGTAATTTCGAATCACTCCGTCAACAAACCCAAATTCTTGTAAAATTCACCCCTTTTCTGAATGGGTCAAGAAAAACGGACGCCTGGAGAGCCTTCGGGAGGTTTTGGGCCACAAATCCCGACCACGAAGACCTTCGCCGCGGCAGCAGGGGCCCCGGCAGCGGCGTTTCCGCCACCAAGCCATGCGTTCCAGACGCCATCTTTGCCGGCGGCCGGACTGCAGGACCGTGTTGCCTTCCTTGAAAGGACGGTATTTCACTACCAATTTCTTTTGGATCAGTCATCAGAAAGAGAGCGCAGGGCGGAGGAGCGAGCGGCTGCAAGTGAGACTCTCCTGAAGGAAGTGCTCGCCCGGCTGACGGCACTCGAACGACGCAACCTGTCACACCCCCAACAACATTTCTTCCAGCCAAGGCGAGTGTACCACGAGCCAACGCACCACCCCAAGACCCCCAAAACGAATGCTTACCTAGACAGGAAGGCTGAGCTGGAGAGCGGTGAGAGTGAGCAAGTAGACAGTCAGCTCGAGATCATCGAGAAGGAAGCCAATTTGTTCTCCTCCAAAGAAGGAATCGTCGTCCACGCCATCTCAGCCGATGCTCACTGCGAGCTCGGCGTGGCCGGCCAGTGTGCTCAGCGCTTCGGAAAACCACCAACCCCGGCCGAAGGGGCGAAGGTCGGCGATGTCCTTGTACAGGAAGCCGGCGAACTGGGCGTCCTGCTTAGTCTGGTCACCAAGGAGAAGGCGGCTTACAAATTGCAGAAACGTCCAGAGGTGTTCATTCCGACAGTCGAGACAGCGCTGGACAGGTTTGTGGACTATGTCGTGGCCAACGATATCAAAAAGTTTGCTATGCCCAGAATGTGCGCTGGTCTTGACGGTATGTCATGGGCCTGGGTGAAAGATGCCCTGCAAAAGCGGTTCGTCAATCTGCCGCATCTTGCAGAAGGAGAAAAAGTTCAGGCCCATGTCTACCACCTGCCTCCGAGAGCTCGCCCTGCGGGGGTCGGCCGGAGAGCAGACACCCTCGTCCAACCCGTGGCGCCTCCCCAGCAAGCCTCGCTGAGCGCTGCCACGGCGGAGGGTGTCGAAGACGATGGCCTGGCGCCGAAACCAAGTCAAGGAGGAAGCCAAACTCGGAAAACTCCCCAAGGCCAGGATAAAAGGCAGCGAGGACGTCCGAGGAATAAAAACAGAAAGTAGGAAGACCCCGGGAGAAACTCAAACAGGAACAGTAAAATCTCACTTTTATTATGGAACGTAGAAGGGTTAAAAAATATTTATGACTTGATTGATGAGAATTATTTCAAAAAATTTGATGTGTTGATTTTCACTGAAACGTTTTTAACCGAGAGTTTTTTTATTCCGGGTTTTTACAACAAACATATTTTCGGCAAGAAAAACCAGCTCGGACGGCCTATGCGAGGGGTGTCAATTTATTATAATTCAAGTCTTGGTGAGCTTAAACATTTTAGGTTATTAGAAAACAGCCTTATTTTAAACTTCTCCGATCTCTCTGTTGTGGCTTCTTATTTCGAGCCTAAAATGTCAGCTGACAAATTTTGGGACGAGCTGATTGAAATTCAAAACAATGTTCAACATGCTGATCAAATAATTATGGCTGGAGATTATAATGCGAGGATTGATAAAAACTCCCCGAAGGGAGAATTAATTTTCGATTTCTCAGAATTTAATAGTTAGTACCTCGCTAACCAACATCCGTATCAGAGTACTTATGTATCGGAGAGAGGCAGAAGTGTGATTGATCTGGTGTTTTTAGGCCCCAAGATCAAGTTAAAAGAATTTAATATTGCTGACTCATTTTTGAGAAAACACAGGCAAATTGAAGTTAACTTGCAGCTAGCAAATAAAATGAATGGAAAAAATCAAGTTCATGGAAACAAACATTTTATTAACGTAGAGTTATTAAAAATAAAAGCAAGCCAGTACAAAAACCAATTTCAAGAAAATATTGAAAAGGAGGAAATTGAAAAATTTTACCACAATATTCTGACCTTGGTCGGGGAGTCAAGGGAGCCAGTTAAGAATAAGCAAGGAAATAGCCAAGAGTGGTTCGATGCAGAATGTTTTCTTTACAAACAAGATCTTAACTTTTTAAGAAATTTTATTGATTCTGTGGAATTTATGAACGGATGTGTGGAAGAGCAAGTTGAAATTTTGGCCATATTTTCACTTGCTAAAAGAGAGTACCGAAAATTATGTAAACTGAAAAAATCTGAGTATCAAGAAAGGTTTGATTGCAAAATTATATTGAGGCAGAGCAAAAGTGTTACAAATTTCTTAAATTCAAAAAGAAAAGTTTAAAGGAAGTGTCGAATGATATTGAACTAATGAAATGGGAAGAACACTTCAACGTTCTCCTAAATGAACGCCACTTGAAACCTGAACAGTCCCTTGGGCTCAAAAAATTAATTGAAAATTATAGTATTGACTTCCCAAAAAGCATTCTGCAGGCTGAAGTCGAACTGGTCATTAAAAACTTAAAAAATCGCAAGGCTCCTGGCCCAGACGCACTCAGAAATGAAACAGTGAAAAACCTTTGGCTCTCTCTTGCTCCTGAAATTACTGCCTTCTATAATTTATGTCTGGAACAAGGAAAACTGCCAGAAGAATGGAAAAATTCAAATTTAAAACTTTTATATAAAGGAAAAGGCTGTGTCTCGGACGTTAATAACTACAGGGGCATTAGCCTCACTTGTTCTCTGTATAATCTTCTGGACAGAGTAATGAAAAATCGAGTCTATTCACATCTTATTGAAACAATTCCAGAAAACCAGTTCGGCTTTGTGAGAGGAAAATCCACAATTCAATCACTGAAATTACTAATAGACGAAATAAATAAAAGTGTCTATCAAAACAAAAAACCTCTTTACACCTTGTTTTTGGATGTCCGTAAGGCCTTTGATTCTGTCGACAGAGAAGTTATTTTTAAAAAATTAATTCAGTGTGAAAAATTCACAATAAAAGAACTAAATTTATTAGCAGAAATGCTTGATACAAATTTGTTAACAATTCACGACGGAATCTCTCGCTCTGATCCGATCGTTCAATCGAACGGTGTAAAGCAAGGAGGAAGCCTCTCTCCGTTCCTTTTTATTTTAGCAATCGCAGACTTGGAACAGATTTTAAAAAATTATCCCA